TTTTGTTTTTTTTTTTTTTTTTTTTTTGATTGCAAGTGATTAGTGTCCTGCATTGGAAGACAACAGCTATGAACTGAATTCATTGCTCATCCAAGACACGTTCTTGTAACTAGAGTTTGGATTACTGCCCGAGCCTGGGCTTTGGAAGATTTGTTTTAAATAAGTGCCACGCCTCCCAGAGAAGGAGGGAAAGCACTGTATAGGAGAGTTGGGCTCCACATCAGAAGTTCTCAGGGAGCTTAAAACTTCAATTCCTACAAAGTATATTCAATAATTTAGTAGACTTAAAGGTTTATGGAATGGACGTGCTTGTTAATAAGTGCTGTATAGGGGAAATCGGTTGCACAGTCTGTAGATTTCCTTCTTTCTTACATTTAGCGCTGTCGAACTTAGCGAATACCAGTCACTTGCGTTCATTTTTTTGCTTTTCAGCTTAACCTCGTAACGGCGTGACCATCAGTATCAGATTTTGTCAGCGATGCTGCTGAACTCTGTTCTTCTGGTTGTTAGGCAGGATTCTTGCTTTCTAAGAAACTACCGCAGACAGGTCGTTTTTAGTAATTCCTGAAAACTTCTTCTCTGAGAAAGATATATTGCATTTTATCACAGCCGTTCCTGTTTAGAAATCAGTGTCTCGGTTAGGCCTCTTATTAGTTTTGGAGTGTGGTGTATGTGAGTCAGAGTGGAAAAACGTTCTAAAATTAGACGTGCATTGTTAAGAATTTTATTAAATGAGTTGCATCAGTGTCTTTTTACATTACCATTTTAATGGGCAATTCTCTGTATTCTCAGTATTGTTAGCTGACTAAAAAAAGGCTCGAGAGGCAAGAAACTTTTCTTTTCAACATTTTTATGCCTGCGAGCATACTAAAAGGTAAACTGGCATGTTTATAGGTAAACCAGTCTGCTTAAATACGGCCTCTTTGTTCTTCTGTTACCTGTACTAACAGAACACTGGGCTTGCGTTTTCCCCCAAGGAGAACAGGTGTATTATGGAGTTTCAGCTTCTTACATCAGAACTGAAGCGGAGCCATTATTTGAAAAGCATCTTATTTTTGAGATTAATATGTTAATGGCTAAAATTATGACCCTGCGCTGAGCTGAGTACAAACAGATGTCTCTGCTGAGCGTGTTGCAGGATCAGGGCCCAAGTTGCCTTTTGGAAATCGGCCTCAGTGCTCTGGGAACTATTATTTCTTTCACTACCTCTGTGTTAAACGAGGTCGGTAAGTGTGTTAGATTCTTTTTTTAATGAAAAACTTATGCAGCGTATCTGGAAAAGAAATTCATTCTCTGATTCGCTTGGCATAGTTCTAGTCTTAAATGTTGGAAGGTAGGAAGAGGAGTCATTCCTTTGTAGTCTTAGAGAAATGGGTCGTGTGAAATGTGCCCGCCTGTCTTAACAAGTGAAGGACGACGTTGACTGCTTTCTCTTTCTTTTTAACTTGCTCTATGCGGAAAACTTGTTGTCTGGCAGGTCCTAGGATTTTCTAATGTTCCTTTTTTTTTTTTTTTTTTTTTGTGGTAATTAGACTGATCAGCAGAGAAACTGATACCGTTGCTCTGGGGTGGGAAAGGCCAGCAGTCTGTGCGAGAGAACCATGTCTGTTCGGGAGTCGTTTAACCCAGAAAGTTACGAACTGGACAAGAGCTTCCGTCTGACCCGATTCACTGAACTGAAAGGCACAGGCTGCAAAGTGCCTCAGGATGTCTTACAGAAACTGCTCGAATCTCTACAAGAAAACCATTTTCAGGAAGATGAACAGTTCCTGGGGGCAGTTATGCCCAGGCTGGGTAAGTAGTTGCTCCTCTAGATACGTGTGATCCTTCTGCTGGGTCTGCTTAGTGACACGATCTCATTTGCGGTTTGTTTAATCGGTTTGAAAATTTTATGTTGTATAATGCACGCATAGCATCCAGAAATCTGCAGAGTGAATCTCGTGTTGTCGTTTGTTGGCATCTGGGATACAAGAATATTATTTTAATTATTTAACGTCCTGCAGTGCGCTCAACTACAAAGAAAAAACGGTCAGGAGTGGCCATCGTCATAGGCACATGCTTAGGAGTTAGTCTCCTCCCTTTCCCCGGTAGATGCTTTGCAAACTGAAGTCATATCAATTAATTTCCGGACTTCTATATTAATATGTTGCCTTTGGAAATTTATGCAATGAATGCAATGAATTTTGTGCAATTAGATGACTCACAGGTGAAGTTCCCCTCTCCCTCCCCTCCGCTCTGTTCCTGGGTCAGAGAAAGTGAGCAAGAGAAAACTTTCTCGCTTCAGCTGAGGCTGGGAGCGGATTGTTTCACAGTTGTCATTTTTCCTTTCAGTCCTTTCGTTGTTCCCCACTCTAACTTTTCTGCTCACCTGTAGAAGCTGCCTGGGAAAGGCTGTCTTTCCAAGACCTCTGTGTTCTTGCCAGCTTCGCTTTCTCTTTGGTATTTGCACAATGATGCAAGCAGTAAGGGAAAACAGCCTGCACAAGTCACCTACGTGGGGAACAGGGCGAACGTAGGTATTTTGATACCAGCCACTCTACCTAATATTGATATAGATAAATGAATGTAGATAATGTGTTTAATGACACTTTTAATTCTGTTTGTCTATTTACTCAGCCCTGCATATTCAATCTCTACTTTGCAGCGCAGAATGAATTTTTTTTCTTCAACTTAGGAATATCAATGTAGCATTTATTCTAAAGTTATTTAATTATCAATTTAGTGTCCAATAACCTTATTTAAAATAATTTTAATGTTGCTAATTGTCTATTAGCAGGCTAACAGGTTGCAACCCATTATTCTGGTAGAGATTGAATTCAGAGAGAGATTAGTAAGGAGCCTGTGTTCTTGCTTGAACAATGGCGATCTTTGTATGAAATATCTAAGCAGCAATTGTGTGTGGAGCTGGGGTGGCACTATAATTTAATATTCCCTAATGAAGGACACTTCCAGCTTCTTTCATCCCCAAGTTGTTATTTATATGGGTTTTTTTCTAAATTAAATAAGCTATTCACAACAGCATTTCAATTTGGCAAATTTCTAAAATCAGTAATAGTTTGTTTTAGATTTAATTATCTAGCTGTTGGGGTTTTTTTCCCTCTTATAAACTTACAGGCTCTAAACAGTAATGGAACTGCTAATAGATTTTTCTTCTGCAGCTATATGTAAAGGTAAAAAAGTAGACTAATGCCATCAAATGTGTAGGTGTGATATTATGTAACAGGAAATCTGTTAGTAATAGAAGGTGGAGAGTTCAGGTCTCTTAAAAATACGCTTTTGTGGTGAGTATCCCTTTAACAGATGTGTCTTTGGATGAGTTGGGTGTTATTTGCCTCCAATGCCTTGTGCTTAAAAGGGATAGAGGGGTAACTTTACAGCCTGTGCATATGCACCATGCTTGTGAGATGCAGTCAAGAGGGAAATTACCAATAGCAGGCTCAGCCTCACTCCTTTTTAGTTCTGCAGGTGGTGTTACCCAGAGCAATCTTAAATATGGCTGTGCGTATACCTGTGAGTAAGAAACTGCAAGTTTGATATTAATTCTCAGAGCTGTTATGGACCTTGAAATCACTGTTTTCAGTCACCTCTCTGAACAGATTCAGTTATTTAGTCAGATCTTTTTTGGTGGAACAGAAGCGTAGCCTCAGAAGGACCGTCACGGCCCCTTGGCCTGTCTGTCAGGTAGCACTTTTGCTGAAGCTGTGGAAAACTGCACAAGTGAAATCAGTCTTGCAGCATTATGGCATAAATAGGTGAACTGAGGGCAAAACAGCTCCTGTACGTGAGCCACTTCTCTGTAACTGCTTATAAGCGCTTTCCTGGAGACACTGGACATCATGCATAGTAGCTTGGTAGCTTCTGCGGAGGATGAGCAACCCTAAATTACTGCTCATGAGCTTCTGTCAGTATCCCTTCTCTTCTGAGGCAAGATCTGCCTCCGTAGGCAGGAGAGGCAAGATCCTCTCCACCTATATACCTACTGCCTGGCAGACCTTCTGCTCTGTGTCCTCAGTAGGACCTCAGATGACAGCAGCTCACTTCATCCCTGTACAGGACACTGCTGAATACTGGCTTGTAGCACTTACTAGGTAGTATGTTTCATTAATACATAGGGAGCAGATGCCACACAGTAACTTTTCCCCGAAAACTGGTTGTTTGAAGACTCTTGCCCTGTGGAGGTATGCAAAGTAATTCTAGGCAGCTTGCTGCCAGCCCAGGAAGGAGGTAAGCTACCTGCCGTTGCCACAAGGCACGAGGATATCGACAGGGAGCGGCGGCTCAGCTAGCATGTTGTGATTTGTCACCTGCCGCTTTTGTGCAGGCTCTTGAATTGCAGCAAATGCCTGGAGGTTTTAATATCACTTACTCTGTTTGAAATACGCACCGTCAGGGAAAATGCTGCGCTTGGTGTTGTGGTTTTCTCAAAGGAGTTTCCCTGTCTAGCAGGTCGTCTTGCCGCCTTTCAGCCTCACAGAAGTAAGGCGAGGTTAACACAGTTGCAGAAGCTCCAAGTGGGTGAATCATCTTTCACCAAGGGCCTAGGCTGTGACTTGTGGCGTCTTTCTGTTCTTCCTGAAGTGAGGAAATGCCCTTTATGAGAGGCTATGTCCTTTTAAAACTGTCACTATGTTTTTGTTGAGATGGGAGTGACAGGAAAACCTATTTGCTTTTGACAATATCCATTCATGTAGTTCCTCTTAACTATAAAAGTACATACATATAAGCACAGATGTTCTTAAAAGCAATGCACTATTATTATGCTGCAACAAACTGTAGAACATTGTAGTTTAGTTCTTGCTTTCAGCCATGCTTTCTTGCTTCTGTTCTGTTCCAGTCAGGAGTTCTCATTCTTTGCTTGGTTTTCCTCTTATTTGTGCTATGTGCTTTCTTTAAGGAAGCAATTTGCCATGTCTGTTTAGGCAGTATTGTGAGTTGTATTTCACAGACATGTTTTGTAAGCTCTCTTGTTAAGAGCAACAGATAATTAAGGGCAAAGTTACTCACCTCACTGATGGATTTCTGTCTTTGCAGGAATTGGGATGGACACTTGCGTTATTCCATTAAGACATGGAGGTTTGTCGTTGGTCCAGACAACAGATTATATTTATCCTATTGTGGATGATCCTTATATGATGGTAAGTTGGCTAAACTTAATTGTTAGCTATATTGCTGATCTGATTTGTGCTTCTCACTTACCAATCTGATGTCAATTTTGACCATTTCTTCCAGATGTGCAGCGCTAATTGTTTGATTAACTGCATTCAGAGTCTTTCCTAAATACATGTGAAGAGGGAAAGGCATAGTTTCATCCTGTAATCTTTTCCATGTCAGCCAGGAATGCTGCAGTGCTGCTTTTTATAGGTGAAAGTTGGGAGAACTGCCACTTTTAATTCAAATTTCCCTCCATCTGTTGTTCTGTGGGATTTGGCTTGAAACGCCCAAAATGGGGGGAACGAGCTGTCTGAAGCAGCAGACGGTAAACTCCACTTAGGAGCAGAACCGCGTTATAATTGGCCTTTTTTGAGGTTCTGAAATAACCAGGTAATGTGTTAGAACTGGAAATGCCGAAATGACAGTAGTTGGCAATAGCACCTGGCAACTTCAGAGTGCTTTGTCAACACCAGTTTTTCCGTCATACTACCTCCGCTTGCAGATGGATAAGTTGAAATGACTTGTTGGAAGCTGTGTGGGCTTTGACTTCAGCTCCTTCTGTGTCCGTATTTCATTTAGTTCGTCTCGGTAGAGATTCCTCTCTGGTGTTATGTGTGGCAGTGATCAGTATTGACTTGAACAGAAGGTCATGGGGAAACAAATGAACTTTAATAAAGGACTTAGTAAAGCTGTAAGGAATTCTACAGGAGGTGTTCATTAAATGAAAGTTAAGAAAGTTAAGAAATGCTAGAATTCATGTTTCCTGTGATTTGAATGTGACTGCTTTAAGGCATGCTTTTACTGTTGTTTATATGATTGCATGCTTTATTTGCTGGTTTTGGTTCATTGTTCTGTGAGACCTGTCAGGTGGGTTTTGGACATGCAGTTTGAGATTGGGACTGACTTTTTTTTTTTTTTTGCATGCTTGACCAGGTGTTGTGCACATATGCAAGCCTAGCTCCTTTGATTTCTGTTCCAGAAGAGCTCTCTTTCTGCAAACTGAGCAGCCAAGATCTCAGGCTGGCCTCTGGAGTATAGAGTGGTTGAGCTCTCCTGAGAAATTTGATTCTAGTGGGTGGCTTGCTTTAACATCATGTGGGAACTCGTCAGGGTCTGGGATAAAAAAAAAAAATTAAAAAAATGTATGTTTTTGGAAAGCTGTGTTCAACTTCATCAGCTGAGAAACTCTCTTTTCTCACCTTGTAACAAAAACTTGCGAGGGACAGCGTGAGAAGGCTGTGGTGAAGGAGGCGGCTTGTTTTGTTTGGAGATACAAAGGGTCTGAGATGCCACAGGAGTGGATAGATGAGCCTGTGCCCAGATGAGGTTTAGGCTAGTGTGGTAGGAGTGGAATGTAAATTTGGCATTAGTCCAACTTTAGTGGTTGCATCATAGTTACAGTCTATACTGTGATCCACATGTACCAGCAGCTGTAACTTTGGTGTTTTCTAACTCTCAAGTCCTTCACTTTTCATTCTTGTTAACGTTCATTTTAATGTGGTGGCTTGCCACTTCCTAATCTGTTCACAGATGTGTATTTCTTCTTAAAAGCTAACTGAGAACAGGGATTCTGTCACAAGCTGCCTTGATGATACCTGCAGTGATGATCCAGCAGGGTTGGAGCTGCTGGATCCTCTACTCGCACGTCTCTCTCTTGGGGACTGGAGTACCTGGGGGCAATATAGATTACCATTTTCTTGTGTGGACCAACATCAGTTGGAGGACAGTCAAATACAATTTGTCACGGGGTTTATGGACGGTTGTTAAGAGCAGAGGAATGGTGAGACTTAGGAATTTCGTGTGCAGGCTGTAAAAAGGAGTGTGCTCTGGACTCATCTGTTCAAGACAGAACTGCTGCTGCCCTGTTTCTCCAGCTGGGTTTTTTTTCCCTGTTTTTAGTCTAGATTCCCCCTGACCCATGCCTATCATTGCCAGTCTCTGTTCTCATTATCACTTAGACACGGTACATGCTCTGCTTCTTGCTCTTCTACTCTGTCTCCTTACCTAGTCAATTCTAGCTTGTTTTTGGGTGAATGTTCCCTGATTGAGTCTCTTTGTTTCTCTGTGCGGAGTGTCTACCTGCAACTCCGTATCTGATCTCTCTTACTAGTTGGGGTGAGAGGAAGCAAGGAGGGAAAGCCAAAAGTGCAAATGGGCTCCAAGCTGGGTACTGTCACAGACTGCATTAGAAAATGGCTAAGGAAGGCAAAACTGCATGTGGACTCAGCTGAACTTCAGATTTTTGCTTCAGAAAACAGCTTTCTCTCACTCTGTTACTACCTATTTTAAAACAAAGTTCTGCAGTTATATCCAAAACCCCTCTTCCTTCTTTTCCCCTTTCCCTTCCTCTTTGGCTTTGTTCTTAAAAACACTCAATCCATGTTGTCTGAAGTATCCCTATGACGTACGCCTGTAAAATCTACTTCCAGCATAGGACTTTTCAACTTAAATGGTTTGATATTGGAAAAGTTACAAGCAATTGAAAATAGGTTTCATAATAAGTATCAAGCCACTGGTAATAGGACTCGTGCTGGCCTCTGTTGTGGCACTGCGGAGGCACCTTTTTGAGCACAGGAGCTGGAAACTGGCTGGTTTGAGAGTGGATGTCCTTCCCCTTCCATTCTTTTTTGTGCCCTTTTAAGAAGAACCTTCACTCAAGACTGGGGATGGGGGTCTGATGCGTCATCCTTTGCCCTTACAAATAGTTCTTAGTATTGCACGTAGATACTTGTGTTTCAGGGGGACTAAGCAAGCAGTCCAGGTAGCATGTGGGACCCAGCTAGGTTGACCGCTGTTTGTGAATCCTGTCGTGTTTATCAGTGTTCACAAGCCATGTATTTTTCCCTTTGCTACTTCAGACTTGAGACTGGCACTCCCTGAATTTGTTTCCGTAGTGGTTTTGCCAGTTGGCAAAAGCGGTGTTAGACTGACCTCTGACTACTAGAATAGAGAGCGCTTGTCAGTGTGGTTTTAAAAACTTATCTGTCATTCCGAAGAGGGCATAAACCAGCAGTTTGCTTGGTAAATACTGAAGATAGTGGAGAGTGGTTTGATAGTCCCCTTCCAGAAAAGGAAAATGGCAGGCTTTAGTGTTCTTAAACATCTGGAAATTTAACAGCCAATATCCGTCAAACTATGCAGTACACAGCTCACTCTTCTCTTAATAGTTTAAGATTTAAATGATTAAAACGTATTCCAGTTCCAAATGTAAGGGATTTCCCCTGATGCCACTGGAAGCTCTTGAATTTATTTAAAAACTGGATTATATTTAATTGTGATTTGGAGGTGTTACTTCATGTCATCAGCAAGTAAGGTAACTGCCTGAAAATATTAATTTTTGCAAAAAATCCGGATGTGTGATAAGATTTAAATGATTAAAACGTATTCCAGTTCCAAATGTAAGGGATTTCCCCTGATGCCACTGGAAGCTCTTGAATTTATTTAAAAACTGGATTATATTTAATTGTGATTTGGAGGTGTTACTTCATGTCATCAGCAAGTAAGGTAACTGCCTGAAAATATTAATTTTTGCAAAAATCCTGGATGTGTGATTAGACTGTAAGGTTTTAGAGATGGTGGAAATGTGTTTAGGTTCCTCCCTCCCACCCCCCACCCCCAATTAGTCTTCCAGCTAAAGCATCTTTCAGTAGTCCAAACTGTGTCAAATAAGCATGTTGTTGTTTTTATCATGGTGGTGTTGCCTCTGAACTTTATGAAAAGCACAGATTTACAATCATAAAACCAGATGTTGGTTACCGTTCTGCAGCTGTAAACCTAAAACAATTTTAATAAAATGCGTGGAGTCTTCCAGAGTAACACAACAGAATTTGTCCTGTATTTTAAAATTATCTTGCCGTCCCTTAGGGCACATCCTGTATCAAAGTTCTGCATCTTCATCAGGAAACTCGATGTCTCATCTGTGCTGAGTCCACATCCCAACAAACCCTCACTCGGATCCATTAATTTGGCAAAATTGGAATAGCTAAGCTCATGTGACTCAAGCGATCCCTTCTCTGTCCTGTCAGCTTCAAGACTTCTTAGAGGAATCTAAGAAGACTAAGTCTCTTGGACAAATTTTTGTTAGTGGAGATGTTCACACACACAAAAGTCAATTAAAATGTAGCAAAATTCAGCCTTATCTTGTCATTTGAACGAGTGGTAGAGTAGGCATGTCTCCCTCACTGTACAAGTGGCGGGGGACAGACATGTCCCCTCAGTAGCTCCTAAGTGGTGACAAGGCCAGCTTCTGGGACCCCTGAGCTCCTTAATCCCTGGCACGCGCTGTCTTCTGCAGACGGCTTCTTACTGACTTCCTGACAGAAAAAGCACCCCAATGAGGCAGTGTGCTGGCAGCACAACTATATCCTCTGGGAAGAAGAGCACTCTCCTAAAAACTTGGAAGTGTAGACGTGGCCTCCAGGGTAGTGCAGAGGAACAAACAGCTTTCTCATCAAGGTCCCTGTCTCCTACATATTGCCATGCAGAAGAGGTACAGCAATATATGCTTTTCGGATTAGCTTCCTAGCAGTTGTGAATTACATACGATGGTAGTCTTCATCAGTGTGTTCAGTTTTGTGCTGGAATAAAGTTAATAGGAACATATCAGTTTAAGTAAACTGAGCTTGTGATCAAAGCTAGACTTTGTCGAGCTTAATTTCAGCCTCTAAAATTAGGCATCCAGTCTAAACTCAGTGTGGGATTCCTATGTAGTCAGTGAGAGAGTATGTTGACCAAGACAGCTGGGATGAATTCTCTCCTTACCTGTAAAGGGAACAGATATCCGTACTTCTAGATGGGCATGTTGCATGAAATGGATTGTACCACATCTTTGGCTGGGTTTCTTAATGCAGGAGCCTGTGGAATAAGTAGCTGTCTTAGAGTGCAAACTCATGCTGGAAGTTTTGTTCGTGGCAGGTGTTTGTCTGGACATTCACAAACAGTCCTGCAGATTTTTTTTTTTTTGTCTTTCTTTCTTTTTCAGGGACGGATAGCGTGTGCCAATGTCCTAAGTGACCTTTATGCCATGGGGGTCACAGAATGCGACAACATGTTGATGCTCCTTGGAATCAGCAATAAAATGACAGATAGGGTAAGATTTTTGGTACTTGCTTTTGAAGGAAGACCCAAACAGCTAAACATGCTTAGAATGTATTTACCTTTAGTGTATTTTCTCCTCAAAGTTTGAACCCTTTTAAAGAAGAGATGGTTTTATTGAATGTCTCAGTTCATGGTATGGGTCTTGCCTCAGAAACATTCTGAGGTCACTTGCTAAAAGTTCAGTTTTCTGTGGCATTGAAATCTTCTGCTGCTAATACCTTCATCTCCACCAAAATGGGGTCCCTGCTTCTGTCAATTCAGGACAACATTGCTCCAAGGCAGCATTTGATTACCAATTCATGTATCAATCTGGATAGATACTTCTGGTTTGCTTATGCCAGCTTTGTAACATCTCTCTGAAGCAGAAGAAATGGAAATAGATTGCTTTTCTTTTTTTCTTTTTTTTTTTTGTTTTTGTGGAAGTGACCAGCATGTATGTTTGTTTTGCTCTAGCAAAAAAGGGATGTTTATTCTTAGAAGGAAGTAAGTTGAAACTTTGCAGGTTAGTGGAGGCCAAATGCAGCTTGATATAACTTTGCCTTATTGCGCTGTGCTGCACTGCTGTGGCTGTACTTGATTACGACAGCAGGATAGTTGTTCTGAGTCTCCAGAATTCTGATTTCTTTACTTTTATATGACCTTTTGAAGAATGTTTCTTCAGCATAAGAATGTCTCTTCACCTCTTTATAAAAGAGCTGTAAAACCATAGCTCTGTGGGATAACATGCAATTTTCAGAAGGCTAGCCTCTTCCTAAGGCTGGCTTTTCTGTCATGAACTATTTGCCATGAGGGCATTTGGCTTGAGTGATTAAAAACCCTGGACCAGTCTTGAAATGACTAGCACTGCTGTGTATGGAACTCTGACTTCTGTTTTGATCTCTAGGAAAGAGACAAAGTGATGCCTCTAATTATCCAGGGTTTCAAAGATGCAGCAGAAGAGGCAGGAACATCTGTTACTGGTGGCCAAACAGTGTTAAATCCCTGGATTGTTTTAGGAGGAGTGGCCACGACAGTCTGTCAGCCTAATGAATTTATAATGTAAGTTAAATCACTAAACAATCAAAGGCACTGGTCTGAAGGGATACAGTAAAAAATCCTTTAAATACCGTGTTATGATCTTGTGATCTGTCTCCTGATGAATAAAGCAGTACCTTCTCCTGCTTGCATTTGTCCTTAGCGCTCAACAGGTGCCACATCTCTTTTGTACATACTTGCTTTTTTAAACAGGATGTCCTTTCACTTCTTCCCACCCGCCAGTATCTTTTAATCCTATTCTCCCTTTGACAGGAGAGTTAAGCTTCTAACCTTTAAAGGTATTGAATACTGTTTTGGGACATAAATTTCCGTCATATTTATACATGCATTTTAAACCATCTCCCAGTTATCTTTAATGGCTGTG